CATTACAAACAAGCATTAAAGAGGATGCATAATATGAGAAAAGCTAACACTTCGGATTTAACTAGACACAAGACTCAAACTTAGAACTGCAACTTACTAGTTTTATGATTATGGGCAAGGCTGAACCTTTGTGCTTCTGTTTCCTGATCTATAAAAGGGGAGTATTGGAAGTAACTTTTTCTCCAGATTTTGTTAAAAATTAAATGAGTTAATATGTGAGATAGTACATAATAACTAGTAACTATTCTTACTGTTGCTATTATTATTGTTTAGTGTTAATTTTATTCTTATATATAGGTTGTTTTCAGTTTCCAAGAAACCAGTAACATATGCATTTTCTATTGATTCCCCAATAAATTGCATCCAGGCTATGTGGGAAAAAAGTCACTGTTGGCACTGGTTGGAGAACAATTCTCACCTTGTATTTCACCATGAAAACTGTAATTTTACATGAGGTGATCTACACCGTCCTAAAGTCAGAGTAGTTTCTCATACTGATTTCATTCAATAATTTTCCTCTGAAATTGCTCTTCCCACTTCCCTGCAAAATAAAGCCCCACCATGCTTGAATTTCCAGAAGTCTAGAAAAAATGATGTAAAGTTGCTGCCAATCAATCTATCACATTATATTGAAGTTAACTGCAGAGTTAGCTTGGAAATTTCTGGATGCTAAAATCATCTTTAATTACTCATTTTTTTAATGAAAAATATTTGGGGAACTGAGCCAACAGGATTAACTAGAAGCAGTTCATGTTCACTGATCTCATGGAGAAAAGTGATCTAAACTGATCTCAAGAGCTGGAGAACACTGACCGTGCAAGCCAATCAACAGATAAATCATGTTGGGATATAACAAGGCAGCAGGCAAAAACAGAGGACAGAAGGATGAAGCTGGCCACCACCCTGTTAGATATCAGCATCTTAAAAAATATCAGCCAGTAGGGTGGCTCACACCTATAACCCCAGCACTTTGGGAGGCCGGGGCAGATGAATCACCTGAGATCAGGAGTTTGAGACTAGCCTGGCCAACATGGTGAAACCCCTTCTCTACTGAAAATACAAAAATTAGCCAGGCACGGTGGGCACCTGTAATCTCATCTACTTGGGAGGCTGAGGCAGGGAGAATTGCTTGAACCCAGGAGGTGGAAGTTGTAGTGAGCCAAGATTGTGCCACTGTACTTCAGCCTGGGTGATAGGGCAAGACTCCATCTCAAAAGCAAAATAGAATTCCATATCCAGCCAAACTAAGTTTCACAAGAGAAATAAGACCCTTTTCACACAAGCAAATGCTGAGGGAATTCATTACCAGATGGAAAAACATTTCATGCTCTTGGATAGGAAGAACTGATATTGTTAAAATGGCCAAGAGAACCTCCCAAACATGGAAAGGGTGAGTGAGTGAGAGCCCCCAGGGAGATTCATGCTCTCCACAGGGACCTGTGCAAAACTGGGAATGGGAGAATCACCCTGCTCCCCTGCACCCTTCCAACACACTTTTAGACTGAGGCAAAGAGCCACCTGAAGGTTTTGTGGGGACAACTTCCAAGTCCAAGGGGACCTCCGCAAGTCTTGGGCCCCAAGACAAACCAGCACAGGTGCCACAGCCCCAATAGGGGCCACAGTTGCAGTGCCAGGGAGCAGGAACATTGCTCCACCACCGCTTTTCAGCCAGGGCTCAGTGCTAACTTGTGGCCCAGCAATCCCACTTTGACCCAAACTTGGCTACACCCCTACTTAACTCTGCCACTGGTAGCATGTTTATCTAATAAAATTTCAATCCTTTGATCATTTTAAAAAGGAAAAAAACAAAAAGGAACAAACAAAATATCTGAGAAATATGGAATTATGTAAACCCTCACAAGATACTTCACATGAAGATCATCTCCAAGACACAAAATCACCAGATTCTAAAAGGCTGACATGTAAGAAAAAATGGTAAAGGCAGCCATAGAAAAATGGACAGGTCAACAACGTAAGGAAGACAATCAGAATAACAGCAAACATCTCAGCAGAAACCCTAGAAGCCAGAAGAGATTGGGGGGCGATATTCGACATAGTTAAAGGAAAGAAATTCCAACCAAGAATTTCATATCCATGGCCAGACACGTTGGCTCACACCTGTAATCCCCAAACACTGTGATGCTGATGCGGGCGGAGCACCTCAGATCAGGAGTTTGAGACTAGCCTGGCCAACAAGGTTAAACCCCTTCTCTACTAAAAATACAAAAATTAGCCTGGCGTGGTGGCGGGCACCTGTAATCCCAGCTACTTGGGAGACTAAGGCAGGGAGAATTGCTTGAACCCAAGAGGTGGAGGTTGTAGTGAGCCAAGATCGTGCCACTGCACTCCAGCCTGGGTGATAGAGTGAAACTTCATCTCAAAAGAAAAAAAAAAAAAGAATTTCATATCTGGCTAAACTAAGCTTTATAAGTGAAGGAGAAATAGGATCATTTTCAGACAAGCAAATGCTGAGGGAATTCATTACCAAATGGAAAACAAATGGAAAAACATTTCATAATATTGTTAAAATGGCGAGACTGCCCAAAGCAATTTACAAATTCAATGATATTCCTATCAAACTATCAATGATGTTTTTGATAGGTCTAGAGAAAACTATTCTAAAATTCACATGGAACCAAAATAGATTCCAAATACCCAAAGCAATCCTAAGCAAAAAGAACAAAACTGAAGGCATCGTATTACCTGCCTTCAAATTATATTACAGGGCTACAGAAAACAAAACCGCAGAGTACAGCTACAAAACAAACACATAGATAGACCAGTGTTACGGAATAGCTAACCCAGAACAAAAGCCACAGACCTGCAATCATCTGCACTTTAATAAAGCCGACAAAAACAAGCAATGGAAAAGGACACTTTAATCAATAAATGGTGCTGGGATAACTGGCTAGCTATATGCCGCAGATTGAAATTGAACCCCTTCTTTGCAGCATATACAAAAATCAACTCAAGATGGATTAAATTCCTAAATATAAAACCTCAAAATGTGAAAACCTTGGGGGATAACTTAGTAAATGTCATTTTAGACATAGGAACTGGCAAAGATTTCATGAAGAAGATGCCAAAAGCAATTGCAACAAATGCAAAAAGTGAGAAATGGGAACTAATTAAACCTCTTTACAGCCAAAGAAACTATCAACAGGGTAAGAAGGCAACCTAGAGAATGGGAGAAAATATTTGCAGACTATACACCTGGCAAAGGTCTAATATAAAGAATCTTCAAGGAACTTTAATGTACAAGCAACAAACAACTCTGTTAAAATGTGGGCAAAATACATGAACAGACACTTTTCTAAAGAAGACATACATGTGACCAGGAAGCATATGGAAGAAGCTCAACACCATTGATTATTAGAGAAATGCAAATCAAAACCACAATGAGATACCACCTCACACCAGTCATGGCTATTACTATAAAGTCAAAAAATAAGAGATGCTGGTAATGTTGTAGAGAAAGGGGAACGTTTATACACTGCTGAAGGAAGTGTAAATTAATTCAACCATTAGGGAAAGCAGTGTGGTGATTCCCCAAAGAACTAAAAACAGAAACACTATTTGACACAACCATCCCATTACTGGGTATATGCCCAAAGGAATATAAATTGTTCTACCATGAAGACACATGCACACGTTTCACTGCAGCACTATTGACAATAGCAATTCCATGTCAGGTTGACATGGAATCAACCTGAATGTCTATCAATGACAGAGTGGTTGGGGAGGAAGACAGCAAACCATATTGCCATGTATGTACATATGCAACAATCTTGCATGTTCTTCACATGTACCCCAAAATCTAAAACACAATAAAATATGTATTAAGAAAACAGAAAATGTGATAAATGCACACCATGGAATGCTATGCAGCAATAAAAAGCAATGAGATCACTTCTTTTGCAGGAACATGAATGGAGTGAGGCCATTATCCATAGCAAACTAATGCAGGAACATAAAATCAAATACTGCATGTTTTCACTTATAAGTGGGATCTAAGTGATGAGAACACATGAACAGGAAAAAGAGAACAACAGACACTGGGGCTACTCAAAGGAGAAGGGTGGGAGGAGGGAGAAGTTAAGAAAAGAAATAAAACTGTCATGTACTGTTTAGTACCCAAGTGGCAAAATAATCTGTATATACACCAAACCCACAAATCATGTGTTTACTTATTTAACAAACCTGCACATGTACTTCTAAACCTAAAATAAAATTAAATGTTCCTTATATCTTTCCTTCATTTGTCCACCCTTCCATCATCCTTCCATCCATCCATTCATCCATCCATATTTCCATCTGTCCATCCATCCATTCATGTATGTTGATAATTATAATCTCATCTATCTTCAAAAGAGATCTGAGGGGTTTTGTGATCAAGGCTAACATCCAATGATCACCGGGTAAAAGAAAGAAACAAGTAATATGAGAGGAAAGGACATCCCACTCTACAAGTCACCTCTGTTTTCTTTTCCTCTCATCCATCTTTTCTTCTTTGCCTGCTCCCTGTTCTACCTCTTTTTATTAACCCCTGTAGATAATACCTGGAGTCAGTTGGCACTTTCATTTAGCTAAGGAATTAGTACTCCGGCTGAAAAGACTTCAGCCCAGCCAGCTGGACTATCAGCATTGCCTTTCAGTGGTAAATTATTTAGAATAGGATGGAGTAAGAAACCTGGGGTGATGCTGGAGTGGAGCAGCCTTTGGCAGGCAGAGAGCACAATGGCGAGCACTATAAGAATTATAATTCATTTCCACTGCAGCAAAACAGTGAAGATAAATAAATGTTTCCAAAATGAGGTTATGACTTGTAACTGTTTTCTAATTTCAGTGTACAAGTTAGCAATAGGGCTAAGCATCGTCTCGAGTATCTTTATAACAAAAGTAGACATATTATTCTCTCCCCTCCATCCTCATCTCACCTCTCTCCTGCTCCACAAGAAAACAGTAAGAGTCACCTGTCTGGGATTCTTGAAGACACTCACCTGTGTTAGAATTAAGATCATCAGGCTCTGATTCAGTCCCATTTTGGCTTCCATTTCCCTGAAGAGTGTTCATAGCCATAAGCTTCATCTTCTGCAGTTTCATTGCCTCAGCCATTGCTGCAGCTGTTATACCTAAAATCAAAATTATTCCATTCCATTTATTTATTTATGTTAATAATTTCACCTTTTATTTTAGACTTGGAGGTACAAATGCAGGTTTTTCACTTGAGTATACTGCATGATACTGAGGTTTGGTGTATGGATGACACTTTGTAAAATAGGGATCATTTCTTAATGTAACTGAAAGCTGGATAGATTTATTTAACAAAGCTATGCTGCATAGCACAAACCAAAATTAACTTAAAGTTGAACTTGTTAATATTTTAACAATGTAACTTTCAACTCTTGTAATTTCTTCATGCTACAATAAATAGTTTATAAACTTTAAAAGATATATTAAATATGTCTGATCCCCAATTTGAAACATAAAGTAAACGAAGATTGTAAAATGCAAATGGTTTTTAAAATTCCAAGATTATTGGTAATGTATTATTTTGTCTGCTAAGAAGTTTAGACTGTTATTTTGGACGGAGCTCACTATGTAGTAAATTCCATCTAAAACAACATGGTCAGTAGGAGCACTCTGAAATTCTAAAAGAAACTCCTTTTAGTGCATATCCCCCTTAGTGCATATCTAAAGGAACCCTTTTCTAGTGCATATCCTTGCTGACAATTTTATAAAGGATAGGCTGCCTAGCCTATGAGGATCAGCTTAGTTGCGAGGGGGAGAAGAAGGAAAAGACTTCAGGTATTCTTTCTATATTTTTATCTGCCTCATACTTATACACTGAGGGACCAACATAAAGAAAACATGGCATGCCACCTATAAAGCCAGCCTCTGTAGTATAGTTACATTCTTTTGTATTAATGTAAAGCAGATATTAAAATAAAACTCTCAGCATAATGGTGTAAAAAGATGAGGTGTGGGGGAATGGCCATAGATAGGATGTATGAGTATGTAAATTTGAAATTATTCCTCCTAGGAAGTCCATATCAGACAGCAACACAACCATATATAAGGAAACAAGTACTAAAAGTACCAGAACAATCCATACTCCAACGATGTCCTCCCAAAAGTCTAGTGAATTCAACTTATTATTTTTAGATAATGTCCCTAATCATCTACTGGTACACTTATAAGGAGTTCAGAGTGGCAAAACAGAACCTTAGTTATTCTACCAAACACACAGTTAGATAGTGTGTTTACTTCCCCTTACATGTTTGATAAGGATTTATCATACCTCTTAGAATCAGGATCTTCTAACGACAGGTTTTTTTTTTTTTTTTGAACAACTGATATTTCCCTTCTTTTCCTTGAATCATATTTTTGTGGTAGGATGAATTTTGCTGAATTCTGAAATAATGCCTCAAAATCTACCCAGATTTTTCTTTTTTCTTTTTGGCCCATGGCAGCACTGTACCAGTAGATGATTAGGGACATTATCTAAAAATAATTAAGTTGAATTCACTAGACTTTTGGGAGGACATCGTTGCTTGCTTTCTGAATATTGGTGCTCCTGTGTTGGGTGCATACATATTTAGAAATAGTCAGCTCTTCTTGTTGAATTGAACATTTTTAGCATTATGTAATGCTCTTCCTTGTCTTTTTTGTCATTATTGGTTGGAAATCTGTTTTTCTGAAATTAGTATTGCAACTCCTATTTTTTTTCTGTTTTCCATTTGCTTGACAGATTTTTCTACAAGCCTTTATTTTGAGCCTATGAGTGTCATGACATGTTAGATGGAGTTCTCAAAGACATGATACCATGGGGTATTGCTTTTATATCCAGCTTGCCACTCTGTGCCTTTCAAGTGGGGCATTTAGCCCATGTACATTCAAGGTTACTAGTGATATGTGTGAATTTGATATTGTCATTGTGATGTTAGCTGGTTACTATGTTGGTGTGTTTGCGTGATTGCTTTACAGTGAAACTGGTCTGGAAACAGTTTTGAAATTCTCTACAAATCAACTGAGAAGATGCACATCTTTCCAAACAGAGGTAGTATTTGGGTTTATTTTCAGTAAATGCTTAGGCTCTGAATTATACTCAGAAAAATACTTGAACTCTAAAAAATTGTACTAAATGTGTTTTCTATTCAGAAAAAAAAAAAAAAAACCTCTTGGACTCTAAAAACAACTTCAGAATGCAACAATGGGAAAGCCATACAGATATAAAAGTTAGAGACTGAAAGAGCAAAGAAATGACATGAAGGTAGTTATGGGCTACCTTAATGAGGAACAAAAATTCCAGTGGTTCTTCAGAATCACCATCCATGGATAGACAAAAGATTAAAATTTAGTTCAGTTCTGTGGCTGTGAGAGAAAAGCTGAAAAAATACAGCTTTGGGAGGATCTCAAAACATTCAATAGGAGCTGCATTTTGCTAGACATCAGCATAGCCATCAAATGATGTGGGCACTAAAAGTTGACTATATTTTGCAAGTATCTGTTGAGTTACAGGTACAGATATTAAGAGAGAATACACTCGATCTGTGCTAAAGTTCCACTTGCCTCAGCAAAACAACAGTTGGAGGATGTACAATCAGGCAGTGAATTTGGACTTAGGAATTGAGCCAAAAAGAGAAAACCACAGTTAAGAAGGGTTGGCAGGACAAACAGCATGACATATAGTGTAGTCCACAAAACCAGTCTCAAGAGAAAACTGGCTGCTGCTTTGAGCAAACTGCTGTCCCTTAGCCTCAATGTGCCTAATAAAATTTTAAGTTGCCAAACAACTGTTTACTTTCTTGTAGACCATAGAGAACCTGTCTTACATCAACTTTTCCCAAACTACTTTTCATTTGACAACTTGTTCCACAAAATGTTAAAAGAGTATCTATTTAAAAATGAAGAAACTGGGTAAGAAAATTCCCAGGCCAAATTAGGTAACAACAAGTTAATAAAAATCTTTTCTAGCACTTACCATATGCCACACAATCTTGCAAGCTCTCTCTCTCTCTCTCTCTCATATACATATACACACATATATATATTGTATTTTGAATGTATAATACATATATAATATTCAAAGATACCTTAAGAGTGTAATAATATTACACTCTTACTCTACATTTCCATGTTTCTGGTCAGTAAACCAAGACGGAAACTGACTAACTTGTCTAATGTCATACAGCTAATACATCTTGAAATTGGGGTTTAAATCCAAGTACTCCAGGTTTTTTAATGGCAGTTTTTCCAAAGCTTTACACATGAAATATTTTAATGAATTTTCAAAAAAGGCATAAAATGGAATATCTATTATTCATTCTAAGGATACTAAAACTTTGTAGAACACAGTTTGAGAAATGCTGCACTAAATCTATTTCTTTTAGCAAAGGATATAAGCTCAACTTTATTTGCTTGGATATTATTTTTATTTCTGAATTTGAATTTAAGCTGTATATTGATATCAGGATTTCTTACAATTTATATAAAATTCATCTGTTCTGTCATTGAGTAATCATGAATTATAATTGTCCATTGGTCATTTATTTTTTTATTTTTTTCAGACAGGGTCTCACTCTGTTGCTGAGGCTGGAGTGCAGTGATGCAATCACAGTTCACTGCACTTCAAACTCCCCAGGCTCAGTGGACCCTCCTACCTCAGCCTTCTGAGACTGCAGGCATGTTTTACTAAGCCTGGTTGATTTATTATTATTATTATACAGAGACTGGGTTTCACAATGTTGCTCAGGCTTCTGAGCACAAGTGATCCAACCACCTCAGTTTCCCAAAGTGCTAAGACTGGAGGGATGAGCCACTGCACCCAGCCCACTGGTGATATTTTAAATTTTAAATGTTTCCTCTTTTTATACATTATCATTAAGAGAATTTTTAATTTAATTGTCTTTCTGGTACCAGTGAATGGACAATATTCTTGTTTAAGAAAATTTGAGCCATAAGAACTCTTTTAATACTATATACAAATTCCAGTAAGTTGTACTCTGCCCTAAGGTGACTTATATGACCATTTTTATAGAGTATTATTGGATGTTTCAAGATAATTTTTAAGGAATTTCCTGCCCTGACTTGCCATAGGTCTATGATATCTAAATCAGAAGATCAGAAGTGGTATGATCAGCAAATATCATTGTGAGTCTGGGAGAGAGTGTGCATTAGATATAGATTGTAGGTGACGAAACACTTCTAATTTCTAACATTGGGAGAAGAATGACTCTTTCCATGGCTAGTTAGCCCAGAAAGACAGGAAGACTACCTGAAATGCTGGGCACTCAACAAAGCTAACAGGAATACATTATTCTGTTTTCTAGAAAGGTAGTTCTGTCTGTGTAGAAAACCAGCAATACTTTTCAAAATACAGTACAATAAATTTCCTTTTGTAAGTAGAATAAATGGGAAATTAATCTCAAATTCAATAATCTATTTTTGTCTAAAATTACATTGTAGTACTAACTTCTGCATAACAGCTAATGAAAATCCAAATGTGTTTTGTACTTGTTAAAAGGTATCAAACTGTCAGTAGGAGAATATTAAATCACAATAATGAATCACATTCCAGAAAGATAATTGGCTTCCTAAAGATCACTCCTCTTGTGGCTTTACAGAAGCCAGTCTTCCCTCGGATATACCACATAGGTGCCAGAGAATCAACTGTGCAATCAATTTTCCACTCTTCAGAATAATGATTCTCAACCAGTGTCATGCTCTGTTGCTACAGAGCTACTACTATGATTCTTTGTTGTTTTTATTCAACATTGTGATATTTTATGTTTTAAACATATGTATACTACTTAAATGAAGGACAAGAATGCAGCAATACATCTAGAAATGTTAATTGGTCTAAAATGCTGCATTTTAAATGTTGCTTGCATTATAGTTACAATAATTAAAGGCGTAATTTATAACATCAAGAAGGGCCTGAGAAAACAGCAAGGATAGTATTTGTTTAGCCCAAATTATGATGTAAAGCATAATGAATGAGGAATCATAAAGTCTGGATATTAAAATCGGATTTCTCTATAGCTACCTGTATGCCTATGTGAGTCACTTTATCTTAAGAATCAATGTTCATGTCTTTAAAATGAGGTTCAATCCACTGTTAAACTTCAAA